GAAATACAATTTAGAATTTACTGAGTGGCACAATACAATTTACAATTTAGAATTTACTGAGTGGCACAATACAATTTACAATTTACTGAAAGTGGCACAATTATGTAAATAATAAATAGTCTCTGATAACGCTGTCCCATATAATTCTATCGATATCTGTTGAGGCTTTTGGCAAAGCTGTGAGATAATTTATAATTATCTTCTTTGTTACTGTATTCTTTTGTTGATTCTTCCCAATGTCGTGATACTTAGTCTTATTATTTTTAATGTTACCGAATTGTTTAATTATATAGTTTAATGGAAAAAACTTTGAATTTAAAATGTTAAGAGGAGGAAGTAAGAGTTGAACTGTACGCATTGATATTTAATCTATATTAATATAATTGCCTTTTCCGATGCTTACCAAACCTATTGATCCACTGTGAATACTTTGGAAATAAGTTCAATTAAAAAAAAAATATCAGAAAATATCCACATTTCAATGAGAGCACCCATTATAATTCCAATTTAAAAAAAAAAAGCAATCATTAATACCAACATCTGCGGTTTGACTTTTATTAACTCTTCTTTTGTCATGAAGTAATACGATAATTGCATTTAATGCAATTATTAAAAAAATCATTATCGCGTGCAAATGTGTAATTAACATCAAAAGTATTTGGAACTAATATTCAATTAATAACTGTCAGTTTGATAAAAATATGATTAAAAAGGTTAATTATTATAATCTTTTCATCTCTCTGACTAATCTTTTAACTAACATGCTCTACTGTGGATAGGTCAATACTGTTTTACAGTCCCTTCATATTACATCATTGTTCTATTCAAGATTATTACATGGAAAAGTGTACGAGGAAATACTTTGAGTTTGTGAATAAAAATTCGTGGCACTACAAACTTCAAAATTTAAGCAGCTGTAACTTCGTTAAAAATAAACGAAATTAAAAAAAAGAATTTTAAAGTAATTTAAATTTTATCTTTTAAAATCTCTACTTTTTTCGAAAAGACACTATGTCTTTTGAATTTCTATGAGTTTGGTAATTTTTATATATAAAAAACTAAAAACTAAAATGAGAAATTTTCATCTCACTTTGTAAGCCTGTATCTAATTTCTATCGTAAAAGATTCAAATTTTCACAACAAAATCATTTTTTTTTAAATATAACCTAAGATTTTTTGTTACTGAATTATCGCGGATTAAATAAAAGGAACATTTGGGCTGCTCATGACTCCGTTAAAAATTATCATACTGCAATTTAAAAAACAGACATTCCTAAAGCTGAAATTTTACTTTATCAAATGTTGCAATTGTCAAATTTTTTTAAAAAACATATAGACATATGTAGGGTAGGGCGGAGCTATTTCGTCAGTTTCAACTTAAAATAATACGAAATTTACGGTAGTAAACAATATTAATATCTCTTTGCAGTGACGTGCTTATAATTACATTATACAATCATAATTGCTCCTTGAGAGCACAAGTACAACCTTTAAGTAATCAACACTGTTCTGTTCAGAAACATAAGCATCGTGAAAAATGGACGAAAAAATCCCGTCCTATCTTAATACAAATAAAGTATAGCGCTACAAATTTTTGTTCAAGCTCAATAAAAATCCGACAGATTTATTTCCACGGCGTATTTTTAATGTTAATTAAACGGGTATCTATTACACAAATTTTAAGTCAGAATGTTCTTGGGAGCGACAAAATGAGAGAAACTCTACTACGCTTATAAAACAGTTTAAAGTTTAACTAGTTATTTCTTGTCACGGCACATCGAATCTTAAGCGATAGAATCTTTTCTCTGTCTCCTTCGTATGTCGAATACTCGTACTTATGCTTCCAGCATGTATATTTTTTATACGACATCATTTTTAAACCGCAAAGCCTTAATGGAGGGGTAACGCATTTATATGCAGCATGTAAACTAAAATTGATAATATAAAAATGCGCTATCAGTGATGAGGACGTGATCGAGACGTGTAAAATAGAAGTAATTTGATCAAAGTAATCGTGCGTAGTTGCTTTCTAGAAATGACCTCGCGCTCCAAAATATATTAACAGTAGCATAATTATTATTAAATACGAATAAGTATTTAATAATAAGCAATGCTTAAAATAGTTCTCGGAAAGAATTACGAAAGTACGCTATTTTAATAAAATTATAACAATCTTTTCATTGATCAAATATTTTGTCAACTAAATATTTCAATATAAAGTATATAATTTTTTGCATTATTTACTCTTAATTTTGCAAATTAAACGATAAAAATCGAAAATGTATTAGCGTATTAAAAATTAATTATGTCACTACAAATCGAATATTTTATCATAGATAAAATTAGAGAAAACGGGTAATAGAATTTATTCTATCTATTCAATTCACAAATGGCATTCTCTCTTGCCAAAATTAAATACTGTAAAAAAAATAATTTTGTAGTAGAAGTTTATATATTTGTAGTGCGTATTATATAGGAACGTTTACTTTTAGTGACATAACAGTGAGAGGAGCTTTAATTTCTTATTATGCAAGAGATGTCCTAAGTACCTCTGAAACTATAGATCATTTGTTTGGGACATCCTGTGATAACTTCGATACTTTATCTAACAAGTCTTTTAAACGCTGTGATTTGTAAACCTTCGAAGGATATAAATTATTGATATAAAATGAAATTTGCAATATAATCTAATATGTTTATTGGATATACAACAATAAATTGTATAAATTGCGCACGGCAGAGAAGAATCTCCGAAGCGACTATGAAAGTAATGATCAATCCAAATACATAATATTATATTCATTTATATAAATTTCAATTATCTCCAAAAATATTGGAAATAAATTATGTATGAGCAAACTAAAAACTTATAGTGAATATTCACGAAGTGATGTTTGCCAATCACTTGAATTTGTTAAAAATATCAACGTAATCGGATATATACTCGTATATTGTAATACAAGTAGCTGTTATGTCATAATTCAATATTCGGAAATATTTCGGGTACTAAAGAAAGAAAATTTGACGCATCTACTCTTTTTAGACCGAATAGCTGTTTTCGTATTATCGAACCTACCACTAAGAGAAAAATGTTTGATATTTATGACTATAATTGCATAGTAAATTAATTATGGGGTATCATTTTTATAATTACTACTATAATAATTACTCCAGTTAGTGATATAATAATTATATTTATAATTCTATATAAAAAAACATAATTTCCTAGTCATTTTTTCGATGCCAAGTGTATCTATTTTTTAATATAGAATTATAAACATAATTATTATTGCTAACACTATAACAATAACAACAGTAAAGATAGAGCTTCTAACCATTATTTTATCAATTATAGTTACAAATACCAACCATTTTTTTTCAGTGTGATTTTGGCGACCGTTAAAAAAACCAAATGATTTTTACGACGGTTATTCCCACAATACCGTTCAAAGTATCTATACAATGTAATTTACCAATGGGTACCTTCCAAAATTTTAAGCCTAAAAGTACCTTGTCAAGATTTCCGTCGACAATCTCCTATTTTTTATTCCGAGATATTTTAATAATATAAAAAAAAATTATCGATGAAAAACTGCGAAAGCATAAACTGTCATTTTCTACGTCGTAAACTTGCGGAACAAGGAGAAAATGGCATCAATCTATATCTACTGTTCGAGTGCTATTTATGTTGGAAAATTAGGAGAGACCGAGCGGTTAAATTGCTTTAATATTCCGATAGAGCGATGTAAAAGACCTAAAAGTCATTTGTAACGAAGCGATTTATTCGCTTTTGCGAAAATAATCCCGAGTTATTTCTCTCGACCGAGATAATGACGTCGGCGAATCTGTTCGACTTGTATCATATAGTTCTCAAAGTTAATAAATCTCATTGTTTAATGCGATACTTTTTGATTTTCTTCAATAAACCCTTTTTCTTCAACAAAACCTTTTTCACACATAATAAATTGCATGTAATGATTGATCAAAATATTACATTCAAAAACAAAATTGACGAGACAAACATAGTTAATTATAATATAAAGAATAACCGATAAAAGATTATATGTATACAGGGTGTCCCGAACTTTTTTGCCAATCACTTTTGTATAGATAGACCAAACTGAGTCGAAAAGTCCTCTACCATTTTGCAATTTTCGCAATAGTTAACAAGATATTAATTACTAAAAATTGTAAAATATTGGCCTTAAATAATTTTTTATATTCAAATACTATCAACTTTACAGAAAAACTGCAAGAGACAAAAATCATTTATTTTCTTCTCATAAAATTCTGAGAATTTTTTCAGAATTTTTTATCAACTTTTTAGTATATTGCCTTTTCTTATTTTTACCAACATGAGAAAAAATATGGTATTGCAAAATTCTAAAAAAATTCTGAAAAAATTCTCAGAACTTTATGAGAAGAAAATAAATTATTTTTGTCTTGCAGTTTTTCTATAAAGTTCATAGTATTTGAGTAAAAAATTATTCAAGACCAATATTTGGCAATTTTTAGTAATTAATATCTTGTTAACTGCGAAAATTGCAAAATAGTAGAGGACTTTTCGACTTAGTTTAGTCCGCTCTATTTACACAAAAGTGATTGGCAAAAAAGTTCGAGACACCCTGTATATAATCTTTCAATATATTTAATCTTTAATTGTTTATGCTTTATTATATAATTATGTTTATATAATATATACATATATATATGTATAAAAATAATGTAATATGTTTGAACATATATAATATATATAAGTAATCTTTATATACATACACACATATATATATATATATATACACACGTCAAAAGTATTAAATCATTCATTAAATTATTGTTGCACTTGTTTTCAAACGGTAGTCTATATTTAAAGTAGTATGTAATTAAATATACAAATTTGCATTATTTAATTAATAACAAACACTACTGTAAGTATGGTCATCGGCAGAAATTTTTTGCTGATCTTACAGAAAAAAAGAAAAAAAAATGTCGGTACATACCTTTTCCTGTGTTCGATTCCATACGATCACACTATGACCACTGTTGATCAAATTTTTCACAATACCGCTACCCATGATGCCGAGTCCGAGAAAACCAAATTTCAAAGTCGATGGAAGGATATTCTTCTCTCTGAGAGTTTGCGACATTGTTTCGACATCTAAAGGTGGCGTAACCTGCGAAACAAGGAAAAGGAATATTATGGGAAGGGAATAAACACGTATCTATTTCTAACATTTACTTTGTAAAAAGACGAACAACTTTAAGAATTCTATGTTATTTTTCAAATGTATCCTTTTCCAATAACAAATGTACCTTCACAATAAATGATTAATCCAAATCTTCAAATTCCCTATTATAGATAATAATTTGAACTGTTGTAAATAAGAAAATCGTAAGCTATCAATGATAAAAAATTAGAATTTATTTGTGACTTCATGATAACGTTCTAGTAAAAAAATAGAAATAATAAAATGCAATTAATTGTACTTAGAACCCATTGTAATAGGTTTTTATTAGAGTTTTTAATACTAAAATATTTTAGCTCTAAAAATAAAAAATTATGAGAAAATATTTCCAAAAATTTCTACGAAAGAATATACGTTCTAAAAAAATTCGTAATTGGGAAAAAATACTTTATAAAATATTATACATAAAAAAATGACTCAAAATAAAATAACTATTAAACTGTGTCTAAAAAAACAATTTATGTTTATTTAAACAAATTCTAAGAAAGTTTACGTAATTTCTATTTTACAAATTGTATTGAGAGAAGCATATATAATGATAGGAATAGAACATAACTACTCCTAATTTATTCTTTGTAAAAAGAGGAATAACTTCACGAATTTTATATAATTCTTCAAACGTATTTTTTCAATAACAAATGTTCCTTCCGTAAGGAATTAAATTAATTTAACCTAATTAATCTAATAATTTAATTAATCTAAAGATGTTATTTCAGCCGAAAATTGAGAACGCGGATTTACTGAATTCCGTATGGGCATTTCTCCCAATACCTCGATGATCGAAATAGGAGAATATCCGCACGTAATTCAGGAAATCCGAGTCCTCAAATCCTGGCTAAAGTAATATTTTTCACAAAAAATTATTTACAGATTTTTAAGATGGTCTGTTTAAACTGAAAATTGTATAAATTCACAAGAAATATTATTAAGCACAAAGAATCGCCTTGATCGAATACTTTTCATTCATGTGTATGTTTACAAAAAATTAATCTAATTTAATAGTCTAAATCTTCAAATTCTCAATAGTACACAGTTGAAACTATTATAAATAAGGAAATCGCAATTTATTAAAAATAAAAAATTAGATTTAACCTGCGTAACTTTTAATGAAGTTCTAGTTTAAAAAATTAGAAATAAAATGTAATTAACTGCATTTCATTATTTCTTAAAATTCATTTTAATAGAATTTTTATTAAATCTTTTAATGTTAAAATATTTACAAAAAATACAAAATTATGAGAAAACATTTTTCAAAAATTTCAATAAAAAAGTATACGTTCTAAAAAGATTTATTAGTCGAGAAAAATATTCTTTACTTTTATATAGAACTTTATCCCCCCCCCTTACGTAAAATTTTAGAGAAATAGTCTGATAAAAGAGGTCTTAAATAAATAAAACTGTCTCAAATAAAATATTAATTATTAGCGGTAAATGTCTAAATAGAACCTTTTCTTTAGACAAATTCTAGAATATACAAGCTACACCTTGTTTTTATTTTATGGCATATTTAGATAAACAAAAACACACTTAATGCATAATAAAAATATTATTTAATAAATAGTACATTAATAACACCTAAAAATTTCTCAAAATTAAAAATAACTTAAAAAAGAATAAAAAAATTATTAAAAATAATTAGATAGATCTTCGAATAATTACGATTCATAGATTGCGCCTAATGCGCTTATAGGTAAATCCTATTCTGAACATACAATTAAATATTATTTCGATATCGTTTATTTAATGCAAAAATAAATCTTAATTCTTCGGATTATATAATTATAATTTTTTATTTCATATTGACATTAAGATTATAAAAACAACAGATCCGGCAATCAGATTATGAAAAAAAACAGGTGGGTTCCATGTGCATAACTACGGTACTGGGGTGTAGCGTGTATGCGTCGCGTGTGTGTATGTATAGATGAAACATCTCGCGTGTGCATACTCGATTCTTGATCTTGTGTGACATAATGTTCACAAATATCTTTTAACGCTAAATGTGCGATATAAATATAATTCCAAATGTTTATAAATAAACTTGTATTTTTTACATGTATCAAAATATTGTACATTTAATAAAATTGAAAATTGTGAATAAAGAAAGCATAACTATGATATGAGAATAAATAGAATCTAATATTACTATTAATCAATTACTTCCTTCACTCATAATCTATAATGTTTCAATCTCTTATAAAATCGCAACAAACATGGAATAAGAATCGGGATTTGAACCGCCACCTACGAATCAATCGCTCAAAAACAGAGATACGTGACACTCCACGATTTTAATATTAAGATAGAAACTCACTTGGGGAAAACGTATTTTAATATTCAGATCAGATTTATGTATCATTCAGATCACTTAATAGTATCATTAGATTCTATTTATTCTCTGTCAGCCAGACTTTAATCAATAATAATCACAGGGTAGGATAAATAAATCTCATATATGCCCGTTTCTACCAATAAAGATTAATGTTAATTTTGATTCAACTTATTTTTCTTTTTTTTCTAATTCTTAGAACTAGAAAAAATGAAGAGTTAATTGAATCGAGATTAAAATTAATCTACAGTAACAGAAACGGGCATCGGGCTAATAATAAAAACAATGTCATAATATTGATTACTTACGGGTCTGGCGATATTTGCCGGTCTATTGAGAAGCGAGCCCGTTTTTCTAGCCGAGGAAGAATGGTTCAGGGTAGGACTGATACTACCAAGTCTATTACCATTACTGTTACTGGATTCTCGACGCTGCTTTTTAGCCGGTCGACGTTCTGTACCGCTGTCGCTGAGACGCTTGGTGGTTTTAGCAGCAGTCTCCTGTAGCAGCAGTTACTCAGTTTGTATATATATAATACAATAATATAATAAAAAATACTTTTGACAGTTGTTGGTGAGAAATGGAAGATGAGTTCGCTGCTGACCTTTCGCGGCTTCGGTGTTTTGACGACAGGCGTTTTCTTCTCAGATATAGTCTCTTCTTTGAGTCTGTCGAATAAGGAATCTGGATCCAAACCATCCTCAAATACCTGGTGCATCAATGTAAGTGATTGTTATTTTCAATGTAATCAATTTCTATTTCAATATTCCAGTAACATGTAAATTTTATTTTTTATTTAACTTTCAACTTTTAACTAATTCTATATATATACATATATATATATAATAATAAATCAATAAAGTTAATATAAAATTATTTATAACAAATTATAATATACCTATGAATAATTATCAAACATACGAAACTCTCGCTCACCTCTCCTTTGGCGATAAAATCTTCTATAGCTTCCACTGCATCTTTGAATGCTCCAGATTTGCTAGATTTCACCAAAGTATCCTTATACTCTTGGTAGGGTTTAATGTGGGATTCTTCTATCCATGCGCTACAAGAAAGACATCATTGAGAATTATAAATCATAGTAACATTCTATGAGTAAAATGAGATAAACAATTTAAAAATAGAACTTACTAATTGTTTGTCCCAAAGAAGAAGATACATTGTACTGGTCCCTTTTTAGCATTCGCAGGCTTCTTCAAGTCCTTTGAAGGAACTGATACCTTTACATGCATTATAACATCAATATATAAGTACTGAGAGAGAATTATACAATAATTAATATTATATAATACTAAATAATAATCGTAACATTTATTTTATCATATACATCTTGAATTCAATTTCAATTACAATCCATTTGGAAAACAATATCATTGAAAATAATATCAAACTTTTACAAAATAAAAATAATATATTTATTAAAAAATTAACATTAACAAAATATTTTACATGCTACACAATTATCGCGTGTACAAATCATTAGGTATAAACTTTTAATAATTTTAAGTGCATTTTAAAATTAAGAAAGATAAACATATCCGAAATAAATTTCCATCATTTTTCCATCTGCAAACGCTATGCTTTATAATTACATCTAACTTTCTCTTTATACTAAGATTAAACTTTTCGACCTAGGGCCATATCCAGACTATTCCCAGATAAAATATGAATGTCATAATAATATAAGGGTGTCTCTGTCATTATAATTTTATTTGTCACTTACAAGTAAATGTACTATATAAGTAAACTTATAAGTGACAAATGTGATAAGGTCCTATGGTACCGTACTATTATGGCTGTTCTACCTGGGGGGTTGATTGTGTATTTTGAAATAAAATGAAAATTACAAAAGTGAGCAAAATTACTAGAATATCTATAATTTAAATGACTAATACTTAGTAAATTTGCTTACTTTTGTAATTTTGATTTTATTTTAAAGTACACAATCGATCCCCTGGGTTGATAATTCACCCTAATATTCGTACGGCCCTACCGTGCACGGCGGATGCCGCGTAAAAACAGCCTCCAAAGAACTGTGGGAGTTATTCGTTGAACTGTCCTAATCTTAAAATATTCTTTCTCCTTTCTTCTCTCACATACTCTCGCATGACAGAATATTCGTCTGGGAAGATATTCATAATCCGATTTTATATTCAAGACCATCTCAAGTAATAGTCATTTTATATGATTCGATTCAAACAATTACTACGTTTACACGGCACGCTTTACACCGAAGTTATGACATCGATGCTATGAAACTGACCAATCATAGCTGTTCCTCTGAAGAATGGAATGACTGTGATTGGCCAGTTTCATAACATCGATGTTATAACTCCGGCATAAAGCGTGCCGTGTAAACATAGTAAATAACGCGCAACGTCTATATAAGTAATATAACGTTTCAAGTTCGTACCTAAGGATGTTCTTGATTGTAATATCGGAGTATGATTACCGGTCTCACTGAAAACGTAGAAAATGCATCGTTGACAATCTCGGGACCCTGGCGTAATCACAGACCGACACGCCGCTGACGTCACACGCGTTTCCGCCAATCGAAAAGGGGGAGATGGATTACGCGGGACAAATTCTGAAGTCTCGGCGACAGCAGAACGTTCAACGGTACTGGCCGACCCAGAAGAAATTCGAAATCTGCAGCGGACAGCGAGACGTGTGACGGGTGACGGGAAGGGTGGGAGCATGTCGAGCGTGGAAAGTGGATCCACTCCACGGGAGGTTGCAAGGGATTTAGGTTATAAGCCCCCGCGAGCCGCGGCTTGCGCGCCAATTTGAATTCGAAGGTCGGGTGTGGCGGGAGACAGCGCTACTCCGTAAGACGCGATGCACCGTGGCCAGTGGCGTCGACAGCTGGTGCATTCCGTCGACGGGGCAGAACGACGCGAAAACCGCCAAATACGAGGACGCGCGCGCGCGCGCGCGCAGAAGCGACGTTAACGGAAAGAGAAGCGCGAACTCGCGTCGCGAAGCTTAGTGAGAATCGAGGGGAGGGGGACTCCACTTACCCGGCCGGGCCACGGCGAGAATCCCTTCATCTTCGCCCTGAAAGTGAGAAAAAAAAGATGTACCACATGAAATTAGATTGTACGAGCGAACACGGGATATACGATTGCGTTACCGCGCGCACTTGAAATACGCACCATACTAGATCACCCAGTTTGAATACTTCCGACATCGCGAGGACGAGGAACAATGCTCAACGCGCTACTCCGAACGTCAGCGACCGACTGACTAAACTGACTTGCGTGCGAAGCGTCGTTTGTGCACAACGACATGACCGCGAGCCGCGCCATCTATGCGTCCCCCTTTCGAGCTTTCCCCCCCTCACCTTGCCACTTTACTTTTCGCTGGTCGAACCAGATGCAAATATTTATGTATATAACGTGATAAGATAAAAGCGTTGTTTCTTCATGAAACGCAAATATTATTCCACAAAACTTGCTCGGAAAAACGACGAGAGTTATTAAGGTTGTTTTTCAGCGTACCGCGCTACTTCCGGCGGCTAGAGTCCCGTCCTAAAGGACGTTCTACAATGCATTAAGCCGGTTCTACATTTAGTTGCAAGCTGATCGCAAGTTTGTTGCGCCAGCCAATCTGAAGCTTGCATTTTGAAATCAACGCTTCATATTGGCTGATTCTCTAAAAAAAGGAATCGATTCAGTAAGAATCGAGATTCCGAAGAATCAGATAATAATCGAATATTTTGAGTCTAAAAGAATCGATTTTTCAAGAATCGGAAAAGAATTTCCCATCACTACTCCAGCATCCCCTTAAGTTCAATCTTAAAATGTCATGAATCAATCAGAAGAGAGCTGCATTAGCGTCTTAAGCCCGTATCAGACTACCGACTCTGTAAGCCGACTCGACTGCCAACTCTGACTGCCGACCAATAATGGACCAATCACAATGAGACTGATTCAATGTGATTGGATGCGTCGTACGACGCTCTGCAACCAATCAGAAAACAGGATTCCGATGGATTTTGCTTCGTACATCGGAATCTTGTTTTCTGATTGGTTGCAGAGCGTCGTACGACGCAAATCGAATGCAGGGTGAATTTAGCATATATGTTCCAAAACTTCCTCTCCGAGAACAATTTTACTCGAAATATATAGTACACGTAACGCATATATACTATAGCATATAAAGTAAAATCTTCCTCGGAGAGGAAGTCTTGGAACGTAGCCCAGGGATATAAAAATATACTTACGTTAAAAATGATGGCATTCAGTTTCGGTAAAATAGCAACTTTAGGAAATCGACCAATCGCAATCGAATGTAAGGAGAAAACTCGACTATGATTGGTCAGTTCCTTAGGCTTATTATACCTGCTGTTTTTGCGTGATAAGTGTCGACTCGCATTTTTATAGACTTTGACATCTTGAATATATTAATGTTATTAAAAAATCCGAGGCGGATAGAGAATATACCTTGAAAATTAAGCGCGAACATGGTATATTTATTTTTTTTACATGAATTTCAATATTCTTATGATAAGTGTCGACTCGCAACTCACGACTGTGACTAACCAATCGTCACTTGGCATTCCATGTCGCACTATCTGAATTTTCAGATATTGAAAATGTGATATTTGTAACCGCCGTAAATTTATTGATGTGATAATGAAATGAATATTTGCAAAAATGAAAAAAGGAGAAAGAAGAGCTGAATGATTGTACCAATCGATCCAGTGCGATCGGAGCCTGAGGAACCTACGGTCCCGTAGATCGAGAAAACGATAGACGTCACTCCAGGACGATCGCCAGCCGTCACGTCGATTACGACTTATTAGCAATACCAGCTGTCAAGGCATCGATTGCGAGCGCTTTTTACCTGCT